GGGTTCAGGAGCCTCCCAGGCTGTCTGGACCACACTGAAGAACAGGCTGTCCTCTCACAGCCCCTCACATCACAGCGTTAGCTTCCTTCTCTTTAGTTGTTGACGGGGCCCGGGATTTAACCCAGGCTTCCTGCATGTTGAGCGCGTCCTAACTGAACCACACTTCAGCCCACTAACTGAGTTTGATGTAACTCACCCAGAGAAAGGGTCCCCGGTTTCTTGTTGAACACCTTTTATCCCAGCCATCAGGAGACACAGGCAGGAGCATCTCTGAGTTCCTGATCCACACAGCAAGTTCAAGGACAGCCAGGGCTATAAGGAGAGACCAGAACACAGGGGTCCCCAAGACTGACACCTGGGGAGGGGCTGGAGTAGGTGGTAAGGTGTGGTGAGAAAGGACCATGAAGGACTCCAGGGCCGGGTCTGGGGTGAGCTTGTATCCCCCGCGCCCCCTACCCTCACTCCGCACAGCCTAGTACTGTGACGGGTAAGTCTCAAGGAACCTGGGAGCCAGAGAGAGACTGTAAACGCTGAAACTAGGCCCAAGGAAGGGGAAAATGGTGGAGGACAGGGCAAGGTCCATAAGGACAGCACTGACTCCGCCCACGAGACACGTGACCCAATCAAGAGTCTTCCTCCTTCCTTTCCCTTCTCTGGGCTCCAACATGCCAGACCCTTAGGTGTACTGGCTCACAGCCCCCACTGGCCAAGGACCTGAACGTGATGGGGTGGAGGACATGACGCTTTTTTCACCTGAAATTTCCCCCATTGTCTAAGGAACCTACAGACTGCTATCTGCCTGGCGAACTTCCTGCCACTGAACGACATTCCCCACCCCACCCACTTTTTTTTTTATTTCTAAAGATTTATTTATCTCATGTATATGGCGGTCTAGCTGCAATACACATTCATGCCAGAAGAGGACACCAGATCCCATCATACATGGCTGTGAGCCATCATGTGATGCTGGGAATTGAACTCAGGACCTCTGGAAGAGCAGCCAGTGCCCTTAACTGCTGAGCCATCTCTCCACCAGCACTTTTACTTTTAAGACCTGGTCCAGGATGGCCTTGAACTGACTCTGGAACCCAAGCAGGTTTTCCATCCCATGCCTCAGTCTCCCAATTAGCTGGGATTACAGGTCTACAAACCACACTGGCTTTTAAGGCTTGGTCAGGGTTGTGGATGGTGGTGACTCACGCCTTTAGTCCAAGCACTTGGGAGGCAGAGGCACGTGAACTCTGTGAGTTCCAGGCCAGCCTGGCCTACAGAGTGAGTTCCAGGACAGCCAGGGCTGCACAGAGAAACCCTGTCTTGAAAACCCCCAAAAGACTTGGTCAAGGATGTTCCTTCACTCTAGAGCAGTGGTTCTCAACCTGTGGGTCACGAACCTTAGGGGGCTGAAAGACCTTTTATAGGGGTTGCTGAAGACCATCAGAAAACACAGATATTTACCTTAGGGTTCATAACAGTAGCAAAAGTAATTATGACATAGCAATGAAAATAATGTTGAGGTTGGGGTCACCACAACGTGAGGAAATGTATCAAAGGGTGGCAGCATCAGGAAGGTTGAGAAGCTCTGTTCTGCAGTTCACTGGGCACATCAGCAGGGCAGCAGGAAGGGCCACATGGAAAAGACAAGACGTATGCTCTGGAGCCAGGTCCACCCCGGCCCCATATGGGTGCAGGGGTGCAGGCCCTCCCCTCAGAGGAGCCGTGACAGCCACTTAGGGGCTCAGACAGACAATCCCAGATGTGTGGACTTTCCCACGGTAGCCTCAGGACAGGGCCCAAAGCTGTCCATGTCCCCAGGCCTTGTGACATGTGCCACCTTCCTGGAGAGCTACAGAGCAGTCCCTCCTAAGCAAACCAGCCACCCTGGGTCAGAAACAGTGAAGGACCGAGGTTACCACCCCGCCTTCTTCCTCATGCCCCCCAGGCTGGGAACCGGAGAGGTCTACAGGAAAAAAAATGATGGAGAACTTGAAGGCGTCAGGACAAAGGAGGGGACGCTGTCACAGTACATTAAGTGCTTATTATTGCCTACAGACAGACAGACAGACAGCCTGGACCCCCAGCCAGGAGGTGATGGGTTAGTGTTCAAGTGAAGACCGCAGACGACCAAGCTACAAGAGAGGGAAGGCCGCCTCCACTGCCCTGTCCTAAGATTGAGAGTCGATCAGAGACTGAGGTGTGGGAGCTTTCACAGGTGTGAACACACAGGGGAGGAGGTGACAGGGACAGGAATGATAACGTCCCCTCCACGTCCAGGGAGGAGCAGACTTGCCCACACTCTGCTGAGGCAGAATCCTGCAGTGGAGGCGGTGAGGAGTGTGGGAGCCTGAGAGACAACAGGAAGGGGAAGGGGACCCAGGGGACGGAGTGTGACATGCACAGCCGTGGGAGCCTCCAGGTCCCAGTGTCAGTGTGTGACATTCAGAGCCCATGGGAGCCGCCACCCCGGGGACCCAGTCAGAAGTTGGGCTTGTGTTTCTTGAGCTCCACCATGAGGTGATGAATGTTGATGAGCTCCGCCCTGGCCGGCAGCGCCCGGAGCTGCGGCTGTGCCAGCACCCGGTGGAAGCGATGGTAGAGCTGGATCAGCTGGGTCAGCGCCCCCTGCACAGAGGGGAGTCGGGGGTCAGACAGACAGGGACAGGACGGTCAGAGCTTCACAGCTCAGACACAGCTGGTTGCTGACCTTCCCAGAGGAAAGAGCGAGAAAACACCCAAGAGGAGGACACGGGCAAAGGGCTGGGGTGGCAGGCACCTGGATGATGCTGGTTCCATTTCTGAAGTTGGTGAAACTCCGCATGACATCCTGACTCAGAGACTCCACGGAGGCCTTCCAGGAACTCCCAAAGCCCCGGATCAGCTGAGTGACTCGGGCTGCCACCATTCCCATGGAGCCAAGACCTGAGGGACCCCAGAAGCTAACTATGACAGGGACACCCCTTTCCAGAACCAGGGCCTTGCCTCATCTGACCTGTAATGGGCCTCAGGGAGTCTACAACCCTCTGGGAGGGGAAGATCTGGCTCTCACATCCTCAAAGGTTCCACCCCACAGAGTGGGTGAAAAGCAGAACCCTTTGGCTGGGGTCAGGCACCCCACCTGTGAGTTTGGCCTGAGGTTCATTGATCCAGGACATCTTTCTTTCTTTCTTTGTTTCTTTGTTTCTTTCTTTCTTCCTTCCTTCCTTCCTTTCTTTCTTTTTTTTTTGGGGGGGGGGTTTCAAGACAGGGCTTCTCTATGTAGTTTTGATGTCTCTCCTGGATCTCGCTCTGTAGACCAGGCTGGCCTGGAACTCACAGAGATCCACCTGTATCTGCCTCCCGGG